ATGTGGTTACGTGTGCGCCGGGTTGATTTGTGTGTGAAAAGCATAACACACAAAGGGGAAACGACACGAGGGTAAAAGACAAGAAAAACTTATCTACCAGCTAGAATGTTGGATGCCGCGGCTGCGGCGACGACCCACGCTAGAAACCCGAACAGGAAAAAGCAACAGAGCCAGGCAGAGCCGCTCAGAATCATTCCCCGACGAGGCGGAGAGAATTGAAGAGTAATGGACGGCTACCTATGGCGTTGCCATGTGGCCTCGGTCACGTGGGTTTGTGACGTAAGGGGTAAAAGAATCTTGAGGTCATGGGGCTTCCCCTGACCTAGATTCTATCTCTCCTTCACCGGCAGAATCGCTGATTAATGCCTACAGTTCAAAATAGTCATTTTGACTGACCGGAGTCTATGGTGGGTAATTGAACATAGTGAATAATCTCAAACTGATTTGACAGATACATGTAAAAATAATAAAAAAAATAACCAAATAAATTAGAAAATGAGAATATAATTTATTGTGAATAACTTTTTGAAAAAATATTTGATAATGAACATTCAGTATGAAATAATACAGATTTGTTAAATATGTTATAATATGTTCTGTTCATTCTGATAAACTTGAAGTGCAATGACCCACCATGTATGCTCGCTTACGGTGGAAATGGAATAAAGTTTCTTCTTTACAAAGAACTAGGAAATCGTCAATTCACCGAACATATAATTAAAATATTTAAATTCGGATCGAAATTTAACATGCTGGACAATTTTGCGGAAGGTTATGAAATAATGATAAAAGGTTCAATTAATATCAGAGGAAATATACAACCTCCTCTCACTTCCAGGTGGTATTGGTACAATTTTTATTCAAGTTTCATGAAAGACAAAGTAGAAACAGAAATAAAAGTAGTAACACATTCACTTCCATCCTCTCTATTTCAGTATCTCCTAAACAGACTGTGATCTTTTTTTGTCGCTCGTGTTAAATTTAGTCTTCCTTCCATATAACAATCAACTTGTTTTCTCTGCAGTCACATTGACTCTTATCCTAGCCATCATTGTTGCCATTGTGAATAGGTTTTGAGACTGCTAAACAAAACCTAATATTAGGCAAGTCTGAAATTTGGGTAAGCCTAAGGCCAGCCTTATTTTGCAGCCTATAGAGCGTGTTGTGCATGTGATGCACAAATGCTGGTACAAGAACAAGAGACAGAACAATAGAACGCACACATGCGTAATTCTGATGATTGGCACAAAAATAGTTTGGATAGTCAACATAAAAAGTTTCTGATAATCGATTGTTCATTTAGAATTTATTTGTAGAGGGTTGTGTGTTTGGCCATAGGCCTATCGGCTTTTAGAATTATAAAGTAGGTCTAGCTATCTTCTGGTAATCTGGTACTCTTCGTGACACGGCTACATACTTTTTTTATATGTACTGAAGGCAGAAGAAGAAGCCCTCCATCTGGATGCCATACCCTGAATTCAGCAAGCCTAGTACCCTGAAAGTGGCTAGGATGTATTCTTTTTTTACCTGCTGAGTGACTGTTATTTATTAGAAACATTTAATCATTTGTAAAGGGTCCTTACCTTATGCATGAATACTAGGGCCCTTTCATGTGCATTGTTTACATCTTCATATATTGGATCTGTTATGCAACGACCTTTGACCTGTTTCCTTCTGAGCTTCAGGTAATTGTACCAGAGTTTGTAACTAAGAAAAAAGAAAGTGTCTTAGGAAATGCAGAAATACAGAATATGTTAAATTGACGGTATTTTAGCACTAGAGTTCTTGTTCAACATCACAAAGTGCCAACACAAAGAATGTATATGCAATATGAGGTTTAACCTTTTCACCACCAGACTTTCTTGCCCCAAATTTTTTAGTACTTTTTTCTTATATTCTTCAATATTTCTGGAAATGAATGCTAATTTTGGAGCTAAAAAAAAACAAGCAGCCTGTCCGCTGAGTTGCTGTTAGCAATGCACATTGCAATTAAAGAACAGAAGATATCATTAGAAAATGAACAATATGTATTGTATCAAAGCAACAGGACTTACTGTTTTCAACAAGAATTTAAAAATATTACTTTTCACCAAAAATAATCATCAAAATTAGATAACTGAAGATATCACCACAAAATTAACAAATCTGAAAGAGGTCCACATGTAGTACCTATATATGTAGTATCAAAGCAATTGGACTTGCGGTTACAAAAATATCACTTTTTATCAAAAATCACAAAAATATTCACCAAAATTAGAGAATTGAAGATATCATTACAAAATGAACAAATCTGAGAGAGGTTCACATGTAGTACCTATATATGTAATATCAAAGCAATTGGACTTGCGGTTTTTAACAAGAAGTCGAAAATATCACTTTTTACCAAAAATGACAAAAATATTCACCAAAATTAGAGAATTGAAGATATCATCATGAAATGAACAAATCTGAGAGAGGTCTACCCAAGGAACATATACACCAAGTATCAAAGCATTCATAGTTTTCAAGAAGAAGTCGAAAAAGTAAAACATTGACACGACGAACAATCACTCATATGATAAGCTCCGCTCGACAAAGTCGACAGCGGAGCTAAAATATTGGCTATTTTTGTCTCAATCTTTTGAAGAAAAATGCAGACTATAAGCGGGACTATTTTGTGAATTTGTGATGAAAAGAGGGAACTGGTGGTGAAAAGGGTAAAGGTGCAAATTGACATTAGTTCATACAGTGCAGTATCATCACTGTCACTGCCATCATCTTTTGTACACCAAATCAAATCAGAACACCATTGAAAGAGAATGATTATTATGGATGTATATAAACCCAGAACTAATTAGATCTTCGCATTGCCTTATACAAGTATGTGTATCAAGATTCATTGAAATAAGATGATAATTATTGATATTGATGGAAAAACTGAAAACTTACTAATTATTATGCAGATCAGGTAATTAATATGCACTGATTTTAATTTTAACGAATAAGGTCTATACAATGTCATGGACCATCTTTTCATTGAAATGTGATATGCACAGATTTGAACCCAAAACCAAAACATAACATAAACTTTTCTAAACATCTTTCCTCAATCCTTTTTTTTTGCAATAACCATGCAGTTACTAATTTAGCTTTCAACTATAATGAAAAATTAATGAGACAGTTAAGTATTAATATCGTTCGTCAACTAGACAATATTTGTTACCAATTGGGAGCAACTAGACAGTGAACTGTCATTTCACCTGTGGGATGGTTGTTTGTAGTATGAGGTGAATTCTGCAGGCGCAAACACGAGAGTTATTATAGGCATAGACTATATGGTACTTGTGTGTTTCTTGGCCTGCCTGGATGGCCTGCAATAGATGGTCTGCAATGGATGGTCCACAAGCCAACATACAATAAAGGCAGTTTTGGGTTCTTGTTAATTTCATTTTAAGAGGTGCATCTAGCAGTGCAAATATGGTAGGTATCTTTAGGTAGTTGATTGAATTTTAATGATTGTTTGGCTAAAACAACAATATTCACAGCCCTTGGATATTGAATGATGACATAATCAGTTTTTGAAGATATGACACTACATCCACTATATACCAAGTGCCTAGAGCATGCCGTTCAATTGCAGCAAAGAAAACCAATCCCTGTACATATATGAAGCCTAATAAAATAGTGTGTGTAATCATGAATTCACTTTACCTGCCGGGTAGTTCTTTAAGGGCCCGTTCAAACAGTACATTCACAGCTCGACTGCTGCCTGTACTTTTATGATCTATATACCGAAGCCAACACTTGACAGAATACTGATTTCGTAATATCTCTTCTTCATATGGAAGGTCATCTTCTTCCTATTAGAAAAAGAAAACTTTCAATTGTACTATTAACAGTGATTGTGTGATGAAAAACAGTGTTCTAAAATCCTGGTTGACTCATTGCTGCATCAAATACGAGAGAATCAACCAGTCATTTTATTTGTTACTTCGCAACTGAACATGTCTCACACTTAATCAATATGAATCAATAAACAATTTTGAGGCTCACATTTTAACTCCAAAAATTACGTACATAAGTATGGGCAAATTGAATGGAATCTTTTATACATGATCTTGTCAACATGTGGCTGTGATTTGGCTCAGAGTATACCCACTGTATACTATGAGTCGAAACAATTAACAAAGTCGGAAAGTTTCAGTACTTCAAACATCAAATAATGGCGGAACCACAAGGTTCTCAAGTGTCACATGACCTGGAACTAAAGCTGTGATAGGTCAGTTCTAAACCAATCACTGATTGTGGTAATAACGTCATAAAGATCAAATATGATATGATCGAAATATGAATAATCTAAACTAAACATCAAAGCTATTGCTGCACTGAAATAATACAGCAAATGAAATAATAATTATAGAAAACATTTTGATGTCTAACTAGACAATTCAACCTAATTAACAAACACACCTATGATTTGTATTTCGCCCGACACATTACAGTTTTGTATTTGTATGGCAACTCTAGTTTTTAAGTCACTCAACAATTTAACGCCTCCATACTCCCAGTACATAAGCGAACAGTTCACATACATGAGTACACTAGAGATATGCATGGGGGCTGCAAGAATTTGTTTGCAAATATTGTACTAGTATTCACTGACATTTATTTTATATTTTCATGTATAACATGGGGTCTATATATACCGGTACATACCTTTTTTCCTATTTTTTACATTCAACTCGCCAAAAATCAGTGAAAATAAATTCCATATAACACACCTAAAAAGCCTTTTCAGCAAAAATTAATTCCAGAGAAAATAAAGTATTTTACAGCAGATTGTTTTGTCGATTGTCGTTTGTTTTGTGTTCATGGACTTGTAAATTCCCTGACATGATTTTTATTGTACAAAACAACAGTTTAATAGTATCTGTATGTTGTTCTCACTTTGCAGTATCAAATACAATTGTAATGTGAATTTCCTTCATTAATGTAGTATGTTGACTTTATTTTTAGGGCCAACCAGTGATTCTCGAGTCCCATGTTTACAACCGTAAAATACTTTATTTCAGCTGGATTTTATTATCACTGAATCATTCTTTCAGCAAAAATAGCGAAAATTAATTCCAAGCGAAATAAAGTACTTTACAGTATGTCCCAGCCCATTTACTTACTTGTCAGTGTCTAACAGGCATATACAAAATGTGACCAAGAAAATAGCAGATGAGTGAAAAAAAGAAAGAAAATAAAATCTGTTGCCAGTGTCAAGAAAGCCGCAAAATCACATTAATCCATAGCAGTGATTTTACATACAGAAATTGAGAACTGTAAATGTTGACATAATACATAGAAAAGAACATCCCAGACAGATATGCATCATCAATCGCCATGAGTGATGCAACCAGTTTTTTCGTCTATTTTCTTTAATTGTATTATA